AGTCACTAGGCTCCAGTAAATGAGATACTTGTATTTCCCCTGAGCATCCCTTTGTATGTACTCTTTCTATAGCCCAGAATATGCTTCCATCCTAGGATCTGCCTGGCAAATTCCTATTCACCCTTTATGTCTAGCTCAAATGAAAAATCCTTGAGAAGGCACTCCAAGCCAACTGGCTGCTTCATCCTCTGGATGCCTTATTCATTATGGATGTAACATTTTACAGTACTTCTTATTGGAATTATTATTAAAACATACGTCTAGGGGCTGGGGTTGTGGCTCAGTGGTAGAGCATTTGCCTAGCATGTGTGAGGCACTGAGTTCAATTCTCAGCATTGCATGTAAATAAATAAAATAAAGGTCCACTGACAACTAAAAAATATCTTTAAAAAATACATCTACTTTATTAAACTATGAGATATTTAAAGCCAGGAACTATGCAAATCCCTGTGCATCTAGAACAGTGTGTTGGGGCTGGGGATGTGGCTCAAGCGGTACCACGCTCGCTTGGCATGCGTGCAGCCGGGGGTTCGATCCTCAGTACCACATACCAACAAAGATGTTGTGTCCGCCGAGAACTAAAAAAATAAATATTAAAAAATTCTCTCTCTCTCTCTCCTCTCTCACTCTCTCTTTAAAAAAAAAAGAACAGTGCGTAGACACAGTAGATATTCAATAAATATTTGATAAACTAATGAATAATGTATTTGTTTGTACTATATGTTTTTATAGATATCTCAAAAATATGTTTTAGGAGCAGAAAAACAGGCACTAACTGATTCTAGTACCCTCCAACCTCTGTATTCGGGCTGGCACATGCTAGGTAAGTGCTCTACCACTGACCCACCTGCAGTCCTGATACTTGTGCTCTCTGAATGAAACCAATTCAAAGTTTAAGAACAAATTGAAAAACAAAAAATAGTAAAGAACAGGTCAAATATATATTTGCAAACAGTACGATTTCTGCTATCTTTACACTAAGAATATCGGAACTATGTCAATTTGGAATTAGAAACCTAGTCAAAACATAATTTGAAGAATACATGTTATAGAGGGGTTTTTGTTTTTCTTTCCCACAATGGTGGTGATAGTGGAGAACTGTTATAATGTAAAAGTATTTAAAATATTTATCTTCCTTTCAAAATCAATTATAGTAAGAATAGCTGATAATCAGGGAGAATGGGAAATTTAAGATCAACTACAAGTAAACAGAATCAGCACATAACTCTCCTTTCCATAAATTTTAACTTGTGTTTGTGCCTGCCTATAGCCTACCTGAGCTAAAGTAGGAATTGAATTTTGGCCAGTCTGAGTATGCATATGAGCAGATTCTCTCTCTGCCACAGAATCAGTTATACTTCCATCCTGCCGAGATTCAATTGTTTCCATGGTCATTTGTCTGAAAAGACAATAAAAAGGAAGAAGCATTAAGGACCCATCTAAAATATCAGGAAATACTGAGTACTGTTTTTACTTAGCTTTCTGATATTCATTTATGGCAGTCAATCATCCTCTTGTGGTTTTTCTTTTTTGGTTTTTTTCATTCAAGAAATTGGCTTAGTAGCATAATTTTCACTCACCAAACTGAAGGCACATTCTCTGCCCAATGAATAACAATGTTACCAAGGGAATGCTGCAATGTATTTTATGGGAATTAGCTTATTTTAAAAATTAAGTCTTAAAGTCTCCTATCTATTTTGGGCATTCTATTTAGTATGAAAGAGTGATAATACTAGGTTTTCTACTTTACCTGGAAAGTATAAATATTCTATGAGTCTCAAGGTCTAACATAACTGTTTTATATTATGGTGTGGAAAATTGCCCACTGTCTAAATTAAATGTCATAATAATGTGTCTTGCTTTGTCAGCAAGTAGTTTCTGACAAACAAGCCTCCCAAACAAATTCAATCAGTGAGGGCTAACCACTTTCCTCCAGCTCCCCAGTTATTCAGAGAAAAATCTAATTTTTCCAGGAAAAAACTTCTGACATGATTTTAGTTTGCTTCTGAATTCAATTTAAGTTAATGGTTTCTATGTAGAGTCTAGAAGGTAAACCATATAATAACAAATTTTATTTTATTAAGGAAAAATGTAAAATGCAAACAAAATAAATTTAAAATTTAAATTTATTTATAGAACTACTCTGTGCTGCCATATCTTTTCAAATGTCAATAGTATGATACATTTGTTCACCTTAGTAGTCTAAATATATATCAAAAAGTATGAAGCCTACTTAGGACATTGAATTAAAAAGTTCAAATTGTTTTCACCAGATTTAATT